GTTGTAAAATTCATATGTATGTGGTATTTAGGTTTTTTGGTCCCCAATTATGGTCAAATTAGAGTTTGGGCCAATATCATGCTTTTCTTAGGTTTTGGTCTCTCTTTTGTTTTGAAATAACTATTTGAGGTATCAAAGTAAAGTAGGCATCTCAGTTCAAAACTGAGATCAAATATTATATCAAATCCTAAATTAAATATTTACGAAGGACCAAAACCTAAATAATAATTTAAAGACAAACCCTACTATGTAATCACTTTTCAACCAAATTGATTCAATGGCTCTGATTGCTTGTTTTATTTACTTTTCAGTTCATCACTGGACCCAAAATGACGAAAATCTGATTCGCTGCTATGTTTCTAACTTCTAAGGGGTCCTTATGGATAGCAAACTCGATTCTCCTAAATGTTGTTATAAAAAAAAATATTCGCTAGAACCAACATTCATCATGGTGCTATGCATTATCATAATTTATTTGATTTCTCCAATTTACATGTGTTCACATACCACAAATGACACTATCGACTAATACAAATAGGTTGAAAGGAGCTTAGTTTTAGAATAGTAAAATGTTTTTAGATTTCGAATAAATGTTAATTAAATGGGATCCACATTATTGTGCATGGCCTATAAATTTAATGTGAGTCCTTAGAATTGTCACCTATACAAACATGACAGGTTAAAATTGGAAAAAATCTCTAACAATACTCCCAGTACCAACTGAATGTACCCCGCCATTGGAAAAAGTACCACTTTCGTAAAAGTTTCAGTTCATAACAGAAACTTCAGAGAAATAACTCTTGCAACAAAAAGCTTCAGAGAAATAAAGATGGATGAAGCAAACAAGGTAAAACTCCTCCTTCACTTCAACCCCTTTAAAGATCTTAATCGAAACCAACCGTTTTGGGCCATTTTTTCAAGTTTCAAATTCCATAATAAATAAACAAGGGAGAAAATAATTCTCTGACAATTGACTAACAACCTCTTGTTTTAATACAATTGTAATACTGTGAAAAATAGACAATAATCAGCTAAAAACACATTTTAAATGGATGCTCAATCTTGTTTAATACGTGATCATCTCAGTGAAAACCAATTTCAATCAAACAGAAACTCTACTTGAGCTTACTAGACCAGCTTCAGAAAGTATTACAAATCATCTCAGGCTCTCAGCAAGTCTGAAGAGCAGAAGATCTAATTTCTGAGTAGGGAAACACCTCCCCTGTCATTTGAATATTCGCAAGGGGGCTGCCTGATTCTCAAAGATATGCATCATTCAAGCACACTACAATTGTATTCATCAAAATACTGAAGAGAGATTAATGACATATGTAGGTGGTAAAAAAGCTGAATAAGTGGAGAAAGCATAATATGCATTATGCAGGGATGCTTCAATATTTTTCTCCAAACATCCACGAAAATGCAATGCACGCAAAAAGCATACTATTAGCTCACCTTACAACAATATGAGATTATAGGGACTTCTATAGGGCATATGACTGATTTGGGCATTTTACAGAGACCATATAGTTTTTGCAGAGCTACAAAACTCTCCCCAGTTTACAATAATCCTTTACTACTGAACCATTTTCTCTCTTAGAAATACTACATTACTACTCCAATAATACCAAGAAGGGTAAAAAAAGGAAACGATTGGGGAGAAAGAAATATATTACGGAGATAATTGTGGAAATACTACTGCCTACCTTCCCTGGAGGCCAAAAGTTTATATCATTTGCAGATTGATCTAGATTTGTTCTCTTTACAAGGTGCAACAGAGTTACAGAGGTACAGCTCATCACACGTGGGAGCTTTCCCAAACAATGTTCACAGCAATTTGTG